CACTTTTGCAATATTGAACCGACTATGTTTGCCTAGAAACTAGACCAGCGACGGAGAGAAGAGACGGATAACATTGTAAATGCAACGTCAGTATGATCTCAGAATTTGCAATATAACTTGGTCCATTCGCATGAAAAAGATTGGTAATCGATTGAACAACAGTGCAAAAAATTTTAATGGCTGTCCATGGTGTGATGCTCTTTGGACTTTTAGTTGGGTACCATCATTTCGGAGAAATATATTGCCTCCATCTTCAGAATTTTAATCGTTATAACCCAGAAGATAGCCATGATATAGCCGTAAAACCCCCAAATCTTATAAAAACACAACTTCAGTGGCTTGCTCCAGAATTGTAGTATCAGTTTAATTAATTTTGTGACCAAGTAGCACGACATTAAATCAATTACTTCACGTAGCGTTGATTCAGATAGTGTAGGATAATAATGAACAATGCAAGTTAAGTGATATAAGTCACAATACTGAAATACGTCTGAAGTGACTGAGAGAAGTCACGACATCCGTTAGTCTTAATTGCCTCTACAAGTTTTGGAATCAAGTCAGGTATCTTCCGAATATAAATCTGATTCGTTACTTCTGTTCCTGTCCATTTTATAACAACCTGCATATTTTGTAAATTGCATGATCTAACTTTGCTCGAATTTCGCGAGTACCTCAGGTTCTCCAACCTATTGGTATCAAGTTGAGGGCAGGAACAGTCTTCGTGCTCAAGTATAATAAACCTCGATTAATGTATAGGTACCAGCACTTGAACAGAGTGAGGAGCGGTGAAGGGGGGGCTTAACAGTAGCAGACACGCGATATTGCAGTGTTGCTACAGTGTCTTGTTTCACGCACTGGTCTTTAATAATTACCATAAACCAGAACTGGTTCATATAAGGAAGGACAAGTAATTTCCAAAGTATCTTTACATTCTTAGTATTAACTTAACGTATATAATAATATATTTCAAATCCAATTGAAAAGAAAGGCTAAAGAATTGTGGAAACTTTTAGAATATATTAGTTCAGAGACTATTTTTCTCTTTCGTTAATGGGGTTCACCTAATTTTATCAGGGGGCAATATGTACAAGAAGGGTTTGCGAGACATGCAACACGCGAGGTGAACCAAGAAACAGACACAAAATTTTGCTTGGTGAAGCTGAAGTGGAGCGACAGCGTTATAGAGAGGAGAATAATATTCAACGAGTGTTAGAAGAATAGAAAGTGAAGATGTATTCTGAACTCTTTTCTATTTTTAATGCTATAATTATTGTCATAAGATGCTGCATTTGGCAACTGAAGTATTAAACTTACGTATAAGTTGGTCTCATTTTCAGTTTCTGGGGTAGGGAATTTTTTCAGCTCGGTAGTTTAAACCCTATGTTCTTATAAGTCAGTATCTTCGTAATTGCATGCTGCAGGGTATCTGTTGATGCCTACGGATTACAAATCTTCATTTAAACTAGGGAGTTCTGCATTTATAGTGTTGGTAGACTGTTGCTTCCTGTGACATACATTCCACATCTTTATGAATTTTAAATGTTGACCTACATATAGTTTTAGCATGATCCTTAGAAGCAATTTTATGTTGACTGTTCTCAGAGTTCGTATGGTTTGTCTTCATACATGATGTACCAACATAAAAAATGATATTTCTTGATTTACTTAAAGATTCTTTTTCAACCGTCTAAGTTGGTGACTTCGAAAAGTAGGATAATTTGTGAATATGAACTTGAAGTATGTGGAAGTAAATGACCATGATCTATTTTAATGTAATTTACTGGCATTTTCCTGTAGGAGACTGTTTATTTAGGAAATATTTTAAACTGGATTAGTCAGTCAGCTGTTGCTGTATTGTATCGATGCAGTCCATAAGTACATTTATCCAATAATTGTTCATGTAAAAACCGCTAATACAAAATATTAGCTAAATAGGTTAACTTTGTTGTAGATATAAAATAACAGAAGGGCATAGAAATAATTAGCCCATAAGGTTTCCGACATTCGTTCGCTTTATTCACTGCATACAAGGTACATAAACATTATTTTGCCGCCAGAAGAGGTCTTTTTATAACATTTTGAAGTTTGCAGTTACTGAAATGTCCCTGCCATTTTACATTAGGTTCCCCTACGTCTCACTAGCTGGCAAGAAAATCGATTAACAAAATAGGCCTATGAAGGCGACCCATCAGCTTTAAGTGGTGGAGCGGGATGATTTGGGGGACGTATCCATATTGCCGCTGGTTAACAGTCGTTCCCAAGTTTAGAGCATTTTTATTGCTGTTCTTTTTTTCGTTTTTTTTCCGTGTTCGATTAAAGTTGTCAGGAAAAGAACAATATGTATGAGATAGGACGGGCCTTAACTGCTTATGAAGTATGTTAAACACATTGCATTCGTGCTACTAGGCATGGGTTATAAATCTGATGCCGACTGCGGTCGTATTTTCCAGTTAGTTTCCTACAATAACTGTCACGAAACCAGTATTTCTTTGTGTACGTTATAGTTTGAGTCATCATTAACCATTTAAAGTCAACTAGTAACTACACGTCACACATACTTCAACAGTCAATCTTAATTTTATATGTTTCTCAGTGTAAACGGCAATTACTTCCTTAAACTACATTAATCGGTTTGGTCTTTTTAATGGTGAAGTGTATTTTCTTTGCGGTACAGATTAAATTCTTAAATATTATTTAGACGTGCTCCGATTTTAAAGGGTTAACAGTATTAACATTAACAGCAATTATAATATAATTAAGTTCCTGTATGACAGTGCTTGCCAACAACACGAAGCCCGTAACAGGCAAGCAGTGATAAGTATATACGATATAGACAACATAATAGCAGATTGAAACAAAAAGAAACGAAGCCCATTAAGCGACCTAAATACGCTTCGGTGCAGAGAAAGTGTCCTTAGAGACACTAAACAAGTCCAAAATCTACATATTTCAAGCTGTGGAGCTCCTGGCGGAAGACAGAGTTACTCGTGATTAAACTAATGGCCCTGGTGATGCAGACAGCAAGGACCTCTGAAATGTCGGTAAACTTTTACCAGACTTCACGGCGTAATAATCCAGAGGACAGCCACCTTCATATTCGCCGCCGTGAGAAAGTGAAATCTCACCATAAGAACTCTGATCATCCAGGTTGGGGGTAAACCCATTCTTCTAAAAGAAATTGTCCACTCATTATTCTTAGTAGAATTTGTACCGTAAAATTATTTGACATAACGCAAATATTATGATCCTGTAGAAGTCTGATATATGAGGATGGCGTGTGTAATAAATAATAGGAGACGATTTTTTGCAAGATTTTATTGCACTCAGCATTAAATGAAATCAACAAAAATAGAAACAAATGATGCTAGAAAGTCTATGTACGACAGCGTTGCTGTGACCTCTCTTTGTTTTTCCTGCCCTTAATTTTATGTCTGTGCTCTGCTTACTCACGGCTTAAAATATATATAGTATATATCGGATCTTTCCAATATCGAGACAAAACACTTTAAGATAATATTTGGACCGGATGGATGTACTTTGCTACTGTGCCTATGGACATGAAAACTATCTTCTTCATTGCATTTATATATTTGGACATCTCCTGCAAAGAAACTACGAACAAGTAATATTGCAATTAAATATATAAATGTTCCTTGCACCGTCAATACAAGCTTGCATTCGACTGATTATTTTTCCTACACGTTAGAAGTGAAAGTGAATTTTACTGCTCCCCTGCCATCCCAGTCACGTGACATTCAGTGTTAGCTTCTGCGCTGCAAGGTTATAGACACAATTAAAATAGTCTCTGTATTGAAAGCTATTACTTACAAAAATATAAACACTTCATGTCGTTATAAATTCTACTGTTTCTAAGGTAGTTCATGTCTCCTGTGAGTACTAACGTCGTAAGTTTGTTTGGAAGCTCCCGGGTGTTGCCTGGTATCAGACAGCGAGGTGCCGGAGAAATTTAACTTCGTCGAGTGCAGCACGAAGACAGTACTCTCGAATTTGTAAACAAATAATTGATTAACTGAATAGAAATATAATTGTTAATCCATTATATTCTTTATATTAAGTTTGAAGTTAACTGTTAACTGTTAACCTTGATACTGAATGGTTCCAACAGCAGTGTAATGGTTATGCTCTATATATCCCCAGGTCATCACATCTTCATTTCTCGGCTGTGAATGGTCATTTCCTTCCCCGCCCCGTCCCCAGCGTAGACACTACTATATAAACTATCCACTTCTCAATACCCTCACTTCAGCCTTGAAGATGAAAATATGTTCTTTCTCCGAAACGTGGGTATCCATCTACGTCACACGATAGACAACCCAGAAGAAAAACATTGTCATCTTCACCGCCGGTAGAACTTCACATATTTTCACATCCTGATTGTAAAATAATATAATGAAATAGGATTGCAGATAGGAAATGAAATTGTTTTGAAAATAGGTTTTTGTTGCTGTAAATCTACTGGCCGCGCGGTCTGTAATAAGTGTGGTTTTAGACCGCTAGAAAAAATTTGTGGTGGTCTCTAATCCTGGGCGAAGCGTTTATACGAGGTGTGTTCAAAAAACCGAACTTTTGCTATAAAGACTTTATTGCTAATTTTAATTTCTGCATTATAAGAGAAATTAAGCTTTAAGCATGTCAGACTCTAATGCTGTTGCTTGCCCTAACTATGACTATGGAAGTGTTCTTAAGAAGCTAATGGTCGCTCACCTCGCTCTCGTCCTCAGCCAGCTGACCGTCCTACCAGAATTTGGCGAAGACTGCAAATTATGGAGCTCCTCATAATGCAATTTCCTGCATCCTCCTGTTACTTTCATCCTCTCAGGACCACATATTCCCCTCAGTAACATGTTCTCAAACGCCCTCTGTGTGTGTTCTTCCCCTGCTTGATTGCCACGTGTTTATTGTATTTATATTTGATCATGGTTGAAACAAAATCAAAACTACATTTACTCTGTGTTTTCATGTGGTGCTGCTTTTGGTAGAGATGGAATTAGTGCTCGAAGGGAAGAACTTCAGATTAGCTCAAGAAAACGAACTTCCGGAAATATTGGACTTCCTCTCCGAACACTTGCCTGAGTCGCTCAAGGTAAGTGATTGAGTATGTTTGTCAGAATGTTTTAAGTGCGGAAGATTTTTTGGGTTCCGGAAAAACAGATTTCTTCCTTTGGACTTCTCCTAACGAACCGATTTAAATTACGGGCATCAACGGTAATTGACCTACTTAAGCGAAACTCGGTACGGACATAATGGGATTGAAATTATTGATACTTTTTAAACTTTGCCTTCAACATCACTAATATGGCTGCACTGCGAACTTTTGATGCGAGAACTATGGTACCGCTATTCAGTCTAAAACGTTTTGCAGCAAAAAATATATTAAAAATATGCCATCTCATTAAGGATTTTTATTAAACTGTAACATGAGATCGTTATGACCGTAATATATATTTTTATCTTTGATTGAAACTGATGAATTGTAAATTAAATTAGACTTTCCTGTTTTTTATTGTTGCAGTAGAGTGAGACTATTCTTTGTCCATCCCTCAGATGATACATGAATAGCGACGGTCAGTGTTTTGGGGGAGAGATGCGGACAATCCTTATGAGATGCAGCCCACAGTTGGGGCGGAGTCTGTCTGTGTTTTAGGTTGTGTCAGATTAGGTTATGTTGTATCCGGTTTCATTATGTTAGGTTGGCTTAGATGAGGGTGGTTAAGATGGTGTAGGTTAGACAACGTTGACGGCCGAATTAAAAGTGTCCACATTTACGACAAATCCATTTCTCAGGGCTACGCGCATTTAGAAGCAAAAATTGGCAAAGGAAACTCTGTGTATTCCGGTATGGACTAAACTTTACTGTCTTGTTTATGACACTATTATTTATTATGGCATAATAATATGTTATGAATCAGCTCCGTAGAATAAAGCCGAGCAGATGTGGAGTCAGGTGGTCAAGGAATTTCGTACATTTTATGGACGCCGATGGTTTGTTAAAGGAGTTCACAACACCCGGCCCTCAACTGGAACGACGCCGTTAACTGGGAGTTCCCAAATTAGAATTTCGGTCCTGAAGCCGGGTAACATGAAGGTTTTTTTTTTCTCAGTCCATCCAGGAAACTTCTGCAACATTGAAGAAAGCTAAAGCTACCTTCTGGGTTTTAGCGTCATATAGTCTGGTATAAATTTACCAACGTTTGAGACGTGACTGCTACTTCTGTCATCTGGGCTATGATTATTGAGGAAGAAAGCACCCCTGAAACGTCAGTAAACTTCTACCACACTACACGGTGCTACAACCCAGAAGACAGCAATCTTCATTTAAATAGCACATAAATCAGCCACTCAGAAAACGCGCCACTTTCTTTGTTCCCTGAGCTTCATTCTTTATAAAGGAAAGTTAACATTTTCTATAAATAATCCGGTAGAAAAGATTTTGCTCTGCTTTCAGTTGTCATTTCTCTTGCACCTCACGACGAATTCGTCAGAAAACTGCAGTTCCACTACGTGACTTCTCTCTCTTCTTCCTCCTTGCGTTAAACACCACAGTTCCTCCACTGGCGCTTACAGGTGTGATTGCCATACCACGAGTAGAGCAACTTCTGATCGTTTATGCTCTTGCAATTTCCTGTTGACTGACTGCAAGATGTTCTTGGCTGCCGCGGTGCTGAGTCTGTTCAGATAGATACGAAGTCGGTACTTCATATTCTTTATGGCTTCGTCCTTCTTCTCTACTTCTACGACGTTCTGAGTATTTGTTCGGAGTTTGATTCCCTTTTGTGTGAATTCTTCATAACTAGGAACTCTGTGTTTTATAGTCTCCTGTTGTTTTTAGAATAGTGAATATCTGGGAGACCAGAGTGGGCTGAGAAAAATAGGTTACGAGAACGACAGCTGGATGGAACTGGCTCCAGTTCGTATCAAATAATGGTCCTTTATATTATGGGTGCTGATCAATCAATCACCAAGTTAGCTACTTTTTCGTATTCTTGTCAATGTTTAAAACTAGAGTATAACAGCAAGATAATATAGGCATTATCTGTCTCGCGGACTATCGACAAAATGTTTATGGGAAATCTACACTGATTGTTAACTCATATGTCGATCCTCTATAACCTTAGATTTACAAGAGCGTGTGACATGCAGAATGTTGTTGGATAAACATCTATGACGATGATTCTTCGATTTTTATTATTAATAAAACACAACGTGTATAAACAATATACAAATCGCACAGTATTTGATGCTCTCTAAGAAATTTATTTCTGATTTACTTCGAAATCTCATATTCTGTACCACTTTTATATCCTTGTAACAGTCTGTGAATTGTCATGAAATTTGAAACATGTCTTTTTCTCCTCACGTTCTTTGCCGCTCGCTTTATGGCAACAGCCAACTCATGTCCAGGACTGGAGATAACACCGCGGCTGGAATGTCAGTATGAAGCAAGCAAAACCTGGATATATGCAGTCACTGTGGTACTGTGCAGGTAATGCGAATATTTCAGCCTGCTCTAATGGTTTCTCCTGGAGCGCCTGAGTTCTTATACTGCATTCACGTCTTTGACGGACAGAAGTGGAAGCAGCTACCAAGCGACTTTGTTCCTCGGTTGATATAGTGCCTGTTGATGGTTACCTGAAATTGATCAGGTGTGCGCCACAGCTTCGTAATGCTACCTTAGAAACGTGTCTGATTTCGTCTAGTGACAAACTCCGAAATAATATCGAGTTTTAGTTTTTCTTCCTTACTTCATACTTTCCTTTTCTTCTGTTTCCCTTTCTACCTAATTTTCCATTTCTCTTTATCATTATGTTTCCATATTCTCTATCTTCTAGTTTACCTCGGCCAGCGTTCTTCCGATTGTACACACCGTGCTTACAAAGATGAAGAGACCAATATATGGAGATAGTTGTCTTCCGGGTTTTGGCGCCGTGTAGTCTGGTAAAAGTTTAACAACGTCTGAGAGGTCCTTGCTGCCTCCATCTTTAGGGCGATGAGTTTGAAACGTTGCTTAACTTCTACCAGACTATACGGCGCTAGAACCCGGAAGACAGCTACCTTCGAACTCCCGCCGCGAGAACCTCAAATTCTACTTAGACAAGTATATATTTAAGCAAATCAGCTTACTCACGAATCGATTGACGAGAATGGGATTTTTAACGATATAAATTTAAAAATACGCCACAGTGTCCTGGTTTCCGTCTACAGCTTGGCTGCAATCAACCGAATTTCATAAACGAAACATATGTCCAAAAAAAGAGGGCAAGTTGCTGAGATTACCACAATGTGAATTTATCGCATCATGTCACGCAACAAAGCAACCGAGTATATTCGTGTCACAGCAATTATACTGCGGGGTTGAAAAGAGAACAGCGGGGTCACTTCTACTGCAATGCGCGTTGTGGCCATGGTGACGACGGCAACACGTGTGGCGTGTAGCAAGCGCTACGGTGCAGGTGGCGTGACTCTGCGACCTTGCAGAATTGTTTCTGGCGCCATTAATCGAAATGTTAGCAGAGATTAATTCAATAAGGGTGGATGACGAAACTTATGTTTTAAAAATCTTATGATAAGAATCTTCTTAAGAAATCAAGTTGAAATATTTGACCAGAATAAATGTAAGAAGCCCCATCCAATATTTGCAATTTCTATGCTACGGCGATGTCTCAAAAGTCACGTAACCCCGTAACCCAAAGTTAAATGCTAAGTTTATTACACATATTATATCATAAGGTTACAATTACATAATTATATCGTATGTTGAAACCAGTTTCAATATTACTGTAAACTCTGTGAAAAGTGGCTCTGATAACACACAAATCATTGACTAAAATAGTAACGAATACAAGAAACGATGTCAAATCACCTACGTCTAGGTGGCAGGAGTCCAGTGTTACCACTGGGCACGGCAAATTAAAATTTCCTTATAATACTGACAAATATTTACCCTTAAACTTCGAGTTTTCTTATTTCTGGGACACGCTTACTACTCGGTTTCGATTATATTCCATTCTCTTATTGTAGTTTCGACATCGACCATTCCAGAAAGATATAATGAAGCCTATATAGACATAGGCCCGTGGCAGAGCACAGGAAGTATGAGGGAGGGAAGTTTTTACTTCCGTTATGAAACATTAAATGCTATTCCTTTCATTTTCAGTTTCACCAGACGCTGAAGACTTACCTCACTGATCGTGTGTGGGAATTCTACTTCTACGTGAGTAAGAGCTGGCCCGAGACTCGCGTGTGTTTGCACTTTCCTGGAATGACTAGTTCGGTGAGCGCAATATTCACCTAATTAAATAATTGCCGAAATTGAAGAACACGTCAGAATTAAAATCTGTTGAAGTGAAATGCTGGACATTGTTCATCGTCTCTTCAGGTAAAATGGAAAGGGCAGAAACCCTAGCTTTTGGGCCCCCTGATTGAGCTAGCCTGCACAGCTTCAACATTTCTTTCCCTTCTTTACCTGAAGATGGAAGACCCAGCTTCCGAACATTACAATTTAATTGTGATGTAGATGACAAACAAAGTCCAAAAAATCCACTTTCACAGATTACAACCCACAATCGTCAGAAATCTTCAGACTATATCAGAATTAGCATATAATTATAAAAAATATCTGAAATAGTAATAATAATTATCTGAAACAACGTTTGGGTGAACCAAGACCATGTTATACTGTAACTGCCTGTTTTGTACTTATTTGAGGAGAACATAGTTACTAAGCTGTTAAATAGTTCTGATAGGTATTAAGGGCTCTCGGCATGGTTAACGATTTCACTCTGCGCCTTTGTCCACGTCGGCTCTAGGGCCCAGTCAGATGCGTATTATCCCAGGCTGTCTGGGATAATAACCTTGAAGTAAACCATTTCGCTTCCTTCCACATCCTTCCCTATTCAAAATTCACATATTCTGCATATCATTTTAATAATAACGATCACCATGAAGGTCATTGTTGCACTAATGGGAACTAAGGCCATTGTTTCGCAAAAATTCGTGGCAGTAGTGGCCTCAGGATATTCTTGAACTAATGCTGGAACCAGGATGGTGGAAGTACAGGGGTAGCCAAGCCTGGTGATGAAGGCAGGTGAGAGCTGGAACGTGGGGCAAAGCCCCTGGGAGCTACAGTCGGCTTGGGTTCAGACCCCAACGAAGCATGCATCTCTTGGGGGAGGGCATGGCAGAAATAGCTCATGAGCTAACCTAACCTGGTTTTGAGTAGCCTTTGAGGGCGTTGCCTGGAAGTGCCTCTAAGGGAGCTTAATCCCCGAAAATGGCCCAGCTCCGTGGGTGGCGAAGCCCCTCGGTTTCAGTTCCGGCACTCTTGAGGCTAGGTTCTAACCGGAAGTGGTAGAGGAAAGGCCAAAGTATAACAATAGAAACAATAATATGACAATACGAATAACAATAACAATGGTATTAACAGTAAGAATGTTCCAATTATTACACAAGACTACCGGTCTTGCATGTTGCCTACCTTCCAGGAAAGACGCGACAGATATACTCTCACACACGGACGGGCTCGCGCTAGAGCGTGAAGAACTCCTGAATTGAATAATCGGATATCCGTCATTATGCCCAAATGTTTCGTTTCCGAAACTTGTAATAGCATTATGTGTTATATTGGGGTCTGCACTAAGTAATCGTGGAAATTTCTTTTGTGATCGTATTTGCTAAATTTAACTCACATTTTACATAACTTTCAAATCAAACTGCAGATTTTCTCATAACCGACTCATCTTAGAAGCACTGTGTTCGTCATAAAATATAAAGCTTATGTTTGAAACTGTTTTAATATGGCGAATAATTAAAAAATGCAAAAGGAAATAATTTGACTGTGTGCAGTGTAAATAGGTTTACACCAGATGATCACTGGGGAAACCTCAACTGAGTTGCACCAGTAATTTCGTCCATAGTCTCGCCTGGTTCTAAGTGCATTACTCGCTAATTCAATTGAGTTTCGTTTAAACGACAGCGGAGGGACTGTTGCCGTTTCAGAGGAAAAATCATTACTTATCTCAAACAATGATTTGTCTTTATGAATAAATGTATGTCAAGGCTAATAAAGTATAAAAGATCGTGAACAGGAATAATTTCTGGCTGTGTGTGTTTCGAATTGAATTCTATCACTACTTTTGTTCATAGTACTCAAATTCTTTAGTACGTAATTCGGATAACTTACCAGAACTACTGTCTGGGTGGGAAAATAGACTTATGTGTGCTGTAATATATTTTAAATGCCAATGAAGTGTAGAGAGTTGCAAGAAAATTAAAATATATTTCTTTAATATTTGTGAAATAAAAATAATATGATTGAGGTATTATCTGCCAGTGGAGAGATTCACAGGTCCACAGACGATGGATAAAGATCAAAAGAAAGAAAGTAGAAGCCATAAAATCTGGAAAATTTCTTAACTAGCTGAGCGACTGCTAGTTTCTCAAAAAGGCATCTTCTCTACGTTGTCAGGACTATCTGTCTGTCTGATTACCAACCTATCACCATTCATTCTATTAACCTATAATCCTGATCCACATCCTTACACTGCTCACACACAGGGCGTTCATCTTATAAGGTAAGATAATAAAACCATCTTTTAAGAGGATTTCAGTGAAAAATTCTTAATTATATCTCATATAGTTCCAAAGTTATGATAAATATAGTATTTTAGAGCAAAATTTAAAGGGACACTAAGAAAGTATTACCCCAGGATGAACACAACCTCGGACTTTAAATCTCCGCGGCAAAGGGTTAAATCGTGGACAGATAGGCATATGTTTGATCTCCCTATACTATGCATATTTCTTTTCGAGTAGAAAGTTTTAAAATCCCTCAGATATGTGATAGGGCAGCATTTAAATGTGTTAGCGTGATGTGGCCGAAACATGTAAGGACTTTGTATTTGATGGTGCTAATAGGCCACGTCTCGTCCAAGGAGTCCTGCCGAATATCTACAGATCGAGCCAACGAAAAGTTGGGACCCGCAGTGCTCAGGCACTTGAAAAACGGGTCGTCCCAGTATCCCAGTAATCCAGTAATAGGCCACGTGGTCTGGGGTCTTGGGCCTTGATGGCCCGTGGGTTCGAATCCCACTCAAGCCATGGATGCTTGCCAGTGTCTTTCTGTGTTGTGCTGTCCTGTGTAAGGACAGACCTCGCTGATCACTCATCCAAGGAGTCCTACCAACTGTCTAAATAGCTTAAGAGACATCCAAAAATCAAGGTTCTTCAAGAACTGTAGGGTGAGGTAGAAATATATTTATATACGGGCCAGAAATACAGCCGTGATGTGCGCCATGAATGAAGGTGGTATAAAATCAGTTACAAAGCCGCTGGGTTCATAGGATAACACTGAAAGACGTCCATGTCTCGAATTTGCAGCCGTGATTCATGTATATGGGTGCATATGAGCGTGCGCTGATGCAAACAACGGAATGTTGATTAAATCATATAGTAACAACCTGCATCAGGTACGATTTTGTGTCGGAGCGCAGCGAATGTCGCGTAGACAATCGAGTTATCGAACGTTCCTCACTTCGTGCCATGAAGTCATTATTAAATTATGACTCGACTATGGAGGTTTGTCAGACCGTTCGTATACGTTACGTCAGTAAAGCGTCAATGAAGGCGTGTAGGTGACGTGGAGGAGGCTTAGTGGATTTTAGACATCTGTACTGTTTTAAGGTATAGAAAAAAATCACAGAATATCGTGATTTCAATAGTTTCCTTGTCGTAATCTGTCCGTAAATTCCGCTGTTTCAATAGTTCTCTCAAATGCTACAACAGTAATAATGTGTAATCTGCAAACGTGACTTTAAAAGCACAGCCTGAATGTCTGATGTAGGTCAACTGTTCTATAATTACGACATTTATTTCTGAAATGTTTTGAGAAATTTTAGTTTGTTTTGTTTTGTCATAAATTATTAGCTTTCAAACGATACTCACAAATAGCAGTTGCAATTTATTTAAATTTGCAGTCAGAGCAGAAGTACATTCTTAAAGGATTTAGGAGTCAAAAACGTTTTCGTAGAATTCCGCAAAGAACAAAGCATTTTTCTCGTGTCAGTTAACCGGACAACTCAGATGAACATACGGTAGAGATTCTTGTGCCAGGAACAACTTATGATCCGAATATATATGTAAACTGAATCTATTTAAAATTACATTAAACTGTGCTCATGTTATATTACGTATAAAAGTTGGTTTCTTACAAATAGATTAAACTCGATTTATATACATGCAAGAAAGCTGTCTGCGTTATTGAAGCTCCGGTCTCATGTCTCCTGGATCCAATGAAATATCTGAGCCAAATTCCCTACGCAGTTTAAAATCTTAATGTGTTTTGCTTTGAAATAAATGTAGAATGTTCTTGAACATTAGAATTTTAGGTTTTTACAGCGGCGAGTATCAACATGGCTGTCTTCTGGGTTGTAGCGCCTTGTAGTCTGGTAGTCGTTTACCAGCGTTTCGGAGGTACTTACTGCCACCATTATCAGGGCGGTGAGAATCGCGTCTGACACGCAGGTAAACCTGTATCGGACTATACGCCACTACAACCCAGAAGACAGTTATCTTTATCTCGTTATTGAACATCGTTTGTTTCGAAAATAATGAAACCAATTCCATGAAGAAACGTTCTTCTTGAAAAACTATTAGTCGTTCGGTTGGCCAAGAAATTTTTGCTCCTTGTAGAACCCAAAGTATCATTAATGTGCTCACAAGAGCCAGCCATTGGACGCTATCCTGAGTCTGATAAATCCAGTCCACATCACCATACCATAATTTTCAAAGACCATCTTATCTTCTCAATCATGTCTAATTCTGCCAAGTAGTCTTATATCTTAAGGTTTTCTGATTAAATTTTTTTTACACATTTCTTGTCTATTTCATATTCCGTTAACACATGCATTTTCCCATTAAATAAATATAATCAATAATACTGATACTTGTATTAATGTATTTAGATACGTGTACGTTAAATCTTAAATTAAACAGGTTTGTTAAGTATATAGTTTATTAGTGTGATATTCAACGACAAGAAATAACTACAGAGATAATTTAGAAGACAGCGATCTTTGGACTCACCGCCCTAAAAACCTCAAATCCTACGTAGGGATAATTTAGTTTCTAATTGGATGAGAGACGGTCAACTGAAAGGAATTCACAGTTTCTTAATGATAATACGGCATTCGCCCAAAATTGCTGAGGAAAATAATGTATAAACGTGAATAACCGATGTCTGAGAGCCGAACCTTGTGAACATCAGAAGCGTTGAAC